CCCCCTTGAATTTGTTGGGGGCAGGGATCTTGGGTCCACATGAATCCCGAGCAACAACAACAGCAAAGGTGGGAGGAGGTGTGGCCTTGGCCTGGGAGGTGACAGAGGGAGGAGACTTACGCGAAGAATGAGGGGATCCAGGAGGTGGAGAGGGAGGTGGGGAAGGGGGCTGAGAAGGCTTTTTGGGCTTTAGAGAGGGGACCACAGGGACCAAGGGACTGATGACATTGGCTGTTGTTAACTGAGCAGTCAGATTCTGGATAACATCCAGGATCTTGGACTGCTGAGTTTCCAGATCAGCCACTCTCGTCTCCAGCCGCTAGATCCTCTCATCCCAGTTTGTGAAGTGGCTGGCTGTGAGTTTGTCCTGCAACAATACCAGCTCAGCCATGTCTCTGGTGCACTGGGCTACTCTAGCATCTGCAAAAGTCTTTTGAGCCTGCTGCAGCAGATGCGCTTTTCTTGAAGCATCTGTTGCAGCTTCCAGTTTTGCAGCCTCTTGTCTCTCAGCCTCTGCGAGTAGCGCCTGTTGCTCTCGCAAATTCTCTTGGATCTCCTTCTTGCGCCGCTGTGCAGGGGTCAGAGGAGGGGGAGGTGGAGTTGAGGGTGAGGCTTGGGCCTCATCCTTAACCACTACCTCCACCTGCCCTACACCTGTGTGAGCGGTTTCAGACATTTTTCCTCTCAAAAGAACACAGCAAATAAATGAAACAGCAGGAGGTGCAACGATTTACAGTTCTCACAGACTCTTAAAATTCGCTGCACTGTCAGTTCACAGAGTAGTGTGGGTCAGTGGGCACAAGCGGTTAGGGTTTGAATAGGGCCACTGGGGTCAGTAGTCAGGTTGACTGGGTGTCCAGTAAAATCATGCACTAACGATTTCCTATACCTGACACTGAACTTTCACTGACGTTGCAATATGCACTTTCACAGCATTCCGGAGGTCACTAGCATTCCAGAGCCCATAAGAAAGCAGAGGAAATTAGTAGTATTGATGGAGATAGGCAAGAACTGACTGAAACAGCACAACAAGTAGTAGCGATGCAGTATCCTTTACCCTGACAGCCCTAAACTTAAATTTCGCCACTGTTGACATCAACAGAAATATCCCCAGATATGGCGAATTTCCAGTTTTCACTGTAATGACCCGAATTCACTGGTTCTAGACTTGCGCTTGAGCACAGATGACAGAAATCAAATTGCGATTCACCCCAGACTGACAGACTTCAATTCTGACGGACAAATTTTGAGTTGTGACTGACCCTAGATAACACAGACTATAAATAGACTCAGCGCAAAACTCGAATCCACAGTATCACTACTTTTCCCACACAGAATTCACAGTATGACCATATAGGATGCAGCGCAATACTGTCCTACAGTCCCAGAACAATTTTGAGTCAGAACAGGTCAGTAGATGATGAGGTATGAGTCAGGGTAGGGAGGAAGAAGATGGATATGGTTGTCTTGCAGTCTGACAATTTCACAATTGTGACTCTACGTATAGACAGACCATCAATTCTATTTTTAATAATACTAATCTAATCTCTACTCAGGGAGTCCCATGGAACACACTCACTTGAAGTATTTCACTCAGTGGGTGATGAAGTTCTGGCTATGGCTGCCAAACCCTGGTCTCGCCAGCACTTGCAGACACTCTTCCACAGCTTCCCACGTATCAAATCTCCTGAAACTTGTTGATCCGCTCCAATATGATGTGGCGATTCATCCCTACCTCTCAGATTCATTGAATCTGGCTCAGTGGCGAGAGAATACTCTCCTGAAGGTATCTCGCCACTACAGGTCTGAGCCGCTGGTGCTAAATTTAGCCCTGAGTAGGGTTAATTTACCAGGAGGTGGTCCTGTGATCAATCCTCCCTCAGCGCTATCCTGGGCTTGAAGCCGCCACCTAGTTATCACTGGATTAGGGTATAATTCGCCACCCTGATCCTAGTCATCAACTGGGGTCAGAAGGGTGGATGGCGAAATATCCCTATTCTCGCCGCTTCCTGTCAGGCACACAGACAGGCTCAGGGTGCCTGATCAATCACAAACTGATACTCTGCAATCACCGCTTGTAGATCTTCTCTTCCACTGGATCTTTACTGAAGATGAAGAATCACCATGGCACTTCTCGCCAGTTAGGGCTAGTAAGAGAAGCTGCTCCGGTTGCGCTCAACCCTCTGAGCTCCAAGTCCAATCTTCGCTCCGAGACCAACTCTTATGAACTTGGTTGTTTGGCAATTTGATCGCCACTCACACACAGAAGAACTCACACACGCCCATACATGCATGAGACAAAGGGGAGGAAGAGACAGAGTCCACCTGCA